GGACTGAAGAAGAGTCAGAACAGGCCCAAAGAGTACAATGTATCTACACCAAGAATGATAGAATACAAGATTGCGCCAATCGAGCTGAGAGCATTTGGCCGTGACGTCAATAAATACCAGAATGAGAGAGCAAGACGAACTCGACAAGAAAAAGAGGAAGCATCGAACAAAATGCAGTGTTGCCAAAGTTTGAATTTGAAAAAGCACCAAATTTTTATTGGTGTATTTTATAGACTTTATATGCATTAATATTTTAATGTAAGGATGCCGATTCAAATTAATAAAAATCAATGGTTCTTGCACAACGGTCGATTTCTTCTGGCATGGTTGAAGGTGCTGCACATATTTCGTTGTCGCTTATGATTGTCACTGTGCCATGATTTTGTTTAAATTTTTGTAAAGTTGCTTACCACACTTACGATTGCTATGAATTTTGCTTCCATTTTTTTAAGATTTTCTAATTTGGTGTCTTCAAACTAAAAACAAAAGCACCAAAAACGCGCCAAGCACCAAACTAAAAAATTTTCGCGTTTTGAATACCCACTAAATTTGGTGCGAAAAGCATGAAGTTGGCAACAGGGAATGTAAACAAAAGTATTTTATGACGTCAGCGATTAGGGTTAGATTAGAGGGTTAGCGGTCCGTGAATGGCGCGACCTTTATTTTCTGGATCGTTCATCTACACCATCGCGACGATTAAAAAATGGATGGCGCACAGTGTAAGATTTGATATTAAAGTGACCTTCAAAATAAGAGCATTTATTTTTTGTCTTTTTTTGACCTCGAAACAGGAACTTATTTTAAAAAAATTTCAAGCCATTTTTCCGTTCTTGCGACCTTGTAAATGGATTTGTTGACACAATAACAGCTAAAATATGTGCTGAAACTTTTAAAATAGTTTTCGCATATTAATTTCACTACAAATAAAGAAAAAATTGAAAACATACTGTAGCTTAAGGTCAAAGTAATTATTTTATTCAACGAAAAGTATTCGAATTTGGATGGGCCTGGAGGTATTAAATAGTATGACTACTCTAGTCTGGGTTTTAAGAATGTATCAGACGGCTGTTGAAATGGCGCGAGCTGAATGCACTCTTAATGAATACTCTGCAGTCCACCATAAGCAACCAAGAAATTGGTTAGGGTTAAGTGATTTGAAGAATCATCAGGTTTTGACTCCATCTTATAGCATAGTTTTCAGGGAAATAGTGAAGCTGCTACCAGACAGCATGGCGGGTTAAAATTTTGCTGATTTCTCAATCGGAAAAAGTCCGGGGAAGACTTAATGAGCAGTCCAGCTGCACTCTTGATAGAGGGCGGTATGGGAGGCAGTATCAATATCGGTTTCTGAGTCGAAAAACCTGCTGCCGATGTGCACTTTGTACACAGCATAAGTATTTGTGTGCTTATATTAAGCTCTTTTGTTTTTTGTTAGCGATTTTCATTAAACAGTCTATTAGTGACACCAAACCGAATTGCTGCTAAATAGGGCACATAAAAAAACATTTTTGGAGTCGAAATGCCGCGTGGCTAATGAACTTGTATATAAAATCTTACTTTTAAGATATTCTTTTTCCAATTGCTAAACAGAAAAACACAAATCCGTGGTTGTATCAGATATCAAAAAGCATTATAAGAAAATAATTAAATTTGACTTACCTCAGTGCAAAATTCACAACCGCACAACTGCAGCGCTGTCGCCTCTCCCTGCGTTTCCACATCAATTAGACACAGCTTGCAAGTAAACGGCTGAAAACGCTTCATCGGTTGTATCGCTGGCGCTGGTGTTGTTGCGTACGGCGCATAATGCCTGCCATCCACGACAGACACAGACATATCAGCAGCCGGCACGCCGTTAACAGCCGACGACGACATTGTTATCGTCATAGCATTATCATCATCTTCCTCACCAAATCCGTCGACACAACGTCCGACATCGTGCGCCATGTTCGCCTTTGACATTGCCAGCAGTGATGTAATGGTAAAGGGATATGTTTGCGATGTTGTTGGCAACGCATAGGTAGGCGCGGGCGTAGTGGCCGATGAGCAGGAGCTAGAGGTGCACGGTGTACTCGCCGAGGAGGCAGCGGATGTTGGCGATGACGGCAGATCGACGAGTATGCCTGAGGTGTTGCTGTTGCTAGTGCTGGCGTATGAGGACATTGTTGTCTGCGCGTGCGGTGAGTTGGCGGTGGGTGTGACTACTAGTGATTCTGGTGCGACGACGATTGCTGCAGCTGTTGCTGTGGTCGCTGCTGCTGCTGCTGCTGCTGTTGCTGTTGCTGTAGGTGTGGTGGGTGTGCTGGCGTGCGGCGATGTGATGCTTGATGTGAGCGTAGCCGTGGTTATATTGGACGGCGGTGTGATGCTGCTCGCGCTATGCGTGCTTGGCGCGCCAGCGGAGCTCTTTCGGGAACAATTACCACTACTGCTGCCACCGCCGCTGGCACATTGTTCCGCGGCGTTTGCATCAGCATTGCGATTACTAGCTAATACATTACTATTACTATTTAACTGACTACTGCTTACATTACTAATTTTACGTTCGCGCTGCTGTTGATGTTGTTGTGATGAGTGTATTGGTGGCTTGCAATCGAGTGATGCTGCGAGCGCTTGCAGCTGCTGCTGTGATGCAGATGTGGGCATTTGGGTGGAGGGAGGCGCTTGCATGAACGCTCCTCCGCTACCATTCGATGTAACATTCAGCGAATAACGCGAACTGGAAGCGGCTAAGGAGAGTAGACTAGAGCAACGCGAACATGTCGCTGCAGCA